AATCAATACCTATTACTGATTCCAGCCTCCTCCTCTAGAGGGAAGACACCGCATAGGGAATTAGCAATTCTATGTATTAAGGGACTGCTTGAGAATTCACAAGAATTAACGTACAGTCAATATACAAATCGTTTGCTCTGCTACAGAAATATCAATCTGAGCACACGACGGGCACGTGTCTGGTGTAAATATCTAAGCCTGACAGCTTTCAGAACCGGCAAATATCAATTACAGGCCGAGAGTTCTATTATTGTAGCTTTTGCCAGCCAGGAGGAAGGTAATATTGAGTGACAATCAACCAGCGGAGGGGAGAGTTTGTGGCAGTCCATTTGTTCTGCATAAACTCAGCTATGAAGGTTCTCTGCTGGGCTCTGTACTAGGCTCAAGGGAAACAATGAAGAATAACAAAGACTTACAGTATAATAGAGAAGTAAAAAAAAAAAAAGGGCAATTATAGGAATATAGCAGGTTCTATAATAGAAAAGTAGAAAGTACTTTAAGGGCACAGAAGAGCATGGCAAGGCAGTGTGAAATGTAGTGGGAGCAACAAAAAGCTTTATTTTAGTATCTCTGCTCATTTCTAGAGGAAAAGTCAGAGTTAGCAAAGCCAAAAGAGGTGCAGAGTAAGAGGAAATGCAGCCCAGGCTCAGAGAAGGCCATAGGCCAGGGCCGGCAGATAGAGCCCATCGGCATGGTCCTTCGGGTTACGAGTGGCAGTTCAGGGATACAAAGCCCTTCAAAATATTCTGGACTGCATTTATTTGCTGAATTGGAAAAATACGTAGCGGTGATGCAACAAGAGGCAACTGAAGAACTAGTCAACTCTGGAGCTGGGAAAGCCAATGTGTGTATTTTAGACCCATCTCGCTCATGGCCTTCACATATAAAGGATAAGGACAGAAATTATTTGCTGTCTTCACAATGTACATTCAGGCTCGACTATAGTCATTTAAGAAAATAACGACCTTCCAATCTACACTCCACCCCTAGGCCAAAAGAAAGCAAGTCTTACTGACCCATCTTATGATGTTTTCCCACAGAGGCAATTAAGACTTTATTTTTAATTATTTCTTTTCCATGTAAATAATTATTGGGAAGTTCCAGAAATAAGGACGGAAATGCCTTACATATTTATGAGAGGTACAGGGCAGATGAACACATAAAAAAATTCAGTATCTTTCACAAATTTTAATTTGTGTGGTAGATGAAGGGAGGAGGGATTCATGCTTACACACACACACACACACACACACACACACACACACACACACACACACAGCAATACTGATTCTGTTACCTGGTTTTAGATGTTTTCAGATCACAGAACATTATTATTTAAAGCTTAATAATCTAGGCTACCTACTTTATAAATGAGTTAATGTAGCTCAAGAGCCTTGGCTTAAGTTCTCACTGCACTGAACCACAAAGCTAGGATTTCAACATGGGACTTTTGACTCCTAGTCAGTGTTTTCTGGAACTATGCTGCTTCTTATCACTAGGCTTTAAAGATGAAATCTTCGTAGGTATCAGGTTAAAAAGTGTGACATTTCAAGAAAAAAAAAAAAGAAAATTGCTAAAAATAAAAGCCTACCAAACATTATGACTTTCTAATGGTTCAGACAGTACACTAGGGACTTTACAAAGTCTTAATGGTATTTTGTCATTGATTGTCAGTGTGTTATAGATATATAAATTACTAGCATAAAACAAAGTCACATTAATGAACAGATGACATAATTAATATGTTTCAATGTCTCTGAGTCTCCTGAGATAACTAAATAAAAGGGATTTATATGTACAGACCATTTATCGTCACTGACCTATTTCTAATACTAGTGTCTTGTAAATAGGTGTAGTTGGTCAAGGGGTTAACAAGACAACATGGGTCAACACTATTTTATGTTCCTTTCCTCCCAATGCTATTATGAGTATACAAGGAGTGAAGGATTTTAACAGTAATTTTAATAATATAAGGCTTTTTAAATTATAAGTGATTAGTAATGACCTATGTACAAACAAAAAAGCACCTCCAGAGAACGGATGGTATGTCACATATTGAAGTTCATTCGGAATCCAAACTGCAAAAGAGTCTATTCATTGGGTACAGATGAAATCCTGTGTGCCTAATGGCTGCGTCACGATAATCAAGAAGGACATTGTTAGATCTACTTGAACTTCAAGTCAGGAATGTTCTTTACTGCTGAAGCATGCATTTCTATTTCAGAAATGCTTCATGGGCTTTCAGATGGTTAGCTAAATATACTTAGCATTCGAAGATGTGTGCATTTTCCAACAATTGCATTAGACGATGCTTATATATGCATACACTAAAATGGCTCTCTTTTAACAGAGTCGTAAAACCTTTAAATACGATGTCTCTTTTTGCAGGATTAGGAAAAATTGTAACTGGGTTGGTACTTTTTCAAGCACATATAGATGAAGTGAAGAAAACTCAATTTTAAGTCTTTAAAAAATAGGGGCCGGAGCTATAGTCTTGAGTTTCTTCAAATTTATATAACTGATTCACAAATTCCACACATATCGCTGCTCCATGGTATTACTTAATGATAGTCAGGGACACCCTAATGAACACCAGGAACACCTTTAAACATGAGGCATGCATTCCATACATTTTACATAATCAAAAATGTCATCTGATATTGTCTAAAAATGCACCTATCAATAGGCACTTGTTTTCTGACTTGAATCTCACAGTAGGATGTCACCACCTCAACCAATATTTCACCCAAGACTATTGCAATTCTAATTTTTCTTTTCATTGTTATTACATTCTTTTCTTGTACGACTAATAGCACACAAACAGGAAAGGTCACTAGCTTCTGATTAGACTTAAACAAGACCCATAATTCCTCTGGAAATTGCAGGTAGCTCTTGCTTCCTGATGGTAAGTCTTACAGAGGAGAGGTGGTAAAGTTCCCTGGGGCCAGTACAATATTACTAGTGAGATATGGACTGGAGTGGGGTTCATCCAATCATCAGCGAGGAGAACTCTGCCCTTGGATCACCACTTCCTCAACTATTTTCTACCATGAATAATTGAATGATGGCAGTGGCCAGGAAAAAAAACTAACGATATTTATTTCTTCTTTTTAACTGTAAAATAGGCAATATAATGGGTTATGGTTATGAACTTCTTTCCTTTGTCTTTTGTTTTCTCCATCCTTTCTTCATAAGGGTATAAAAGCCAGTGGAGGCTTATGTTACAGTTTGTATCTAGATGCCCCACGCCCTGCACTTCTCATGCGCTCACAAGTGGGGCTTTGGGAGGAGACTGGATTATGAGTGTGAGATACTGGATAAAATGTGCAGGATAACTCGATTTGTCCACTAGTTGGCTTAGGATAGCTGTGCCTGTGGATAACGGGAAGACCCACTCTGGGCACGGGTAGCACCAATCAACAGGCCTGCAGCCCAAATGGGATAAAAAGGGAAAGCAGGCTTCTGCTTTCTCCTGTCTGCTCTGCCATGGGCCGTTTCTCTGCTGTGATGCCCCCTGCCATGCTGTCCTGCTCGGAGCCAGCTGACTAGAGACTAAAGCCTCTACAAACTGTGAGCTAATACAACTTTCTTCTTTTATCTTGTGGGGGTGGGAGATTTAGTCCCAGCAAGGAATGATTAACTAAGACATATTACAAGAGAAAGTTTTTCAAAGGAGAAGTATTTTGAAGTATTTTTTTTGTTTTTGATTCAAGATAAGACTTTGGGGTGTGCTATTTTATGACTTAGAAATAAGGAAACGAGGTCAGAGAACATCGATACAAACATCCCAAAGAGAGCTGTATGGGCAGGAACAAGATTAAGGGAAAAGAGATTACTGCACTGAATATGTAAGAACAAATCAAAATGATGACAGTCTATTTGATTCTAAAGGACAATGTCATAGGAAGAGAGGGAAAAGAGGAATGGGAAAAGAAGGGGGGAGATTAACTTCATAGTAATGATATCAAACATGATGCATTTGAAAGAAAATGTAAAACCAGAGCAAAGTGTTATAAAATATTCGAATTGGAAGAAAATAAAATTGATATAAAGGGAAGTAATTTGAAATTTAGTCATTATAAATGTTTAAGGGAATTTATTACATATAAATTTTTATTTTATATATTGATATTATGACTATAAAATTAAGTGAGAAAGAACTGAGGGGAAGAATTACCAATGTTCTTCACAGACTGGGAAAGTACCAAGCGTGTGTGTGTGTGTGTGTGTGTGAGCGCGCGCATGTGTGTATGTGTGTGTGTGTGTGTGTGTGTGTGTGTGTGTGTGTAAGCTGAAAAGAATTGCAAAGGGATGGAAGACTAGAAAAGACTGAGTAGGTCTGGATTATTTATATCTTAATTCTAGTCAAAGACATGAATCAGATTGATAATCAGGAATGTAAAGACTAAATTTTTTAAAATAGTAAATCATATCTTCTCATCTTCCCATGTTGGACATAAATGAGAATTCAATACAGAATATACTGCAAAAGTAGAAAGAAGTGGGAAGGAAGAATTAATTTTCTATCTCTCTTTTAATCTTTAGTTACTTTTGTTAAATCTTGAGAAATAGCTCCAGGGAAATATTTTATTATACGTGAAAGTTAGACCTATAAAATGAACACAAATGTGCAAAATTGTAATAGTGTTCTGAAATATGTTGAAATTGAATAATTGCCTAAAACCTCAACACATTCATGGAACAATCTGCTTATGAATTGAGTAATCTCTCAAATGCCATGACAAGTGCTCATTCTACATAAAGCAGCCTGGAAGACAGAGCCTAGCGCACAGGCATCCTCGGCAACAAATGTCTTTACTGCACACTGATTCTAAGGAGCACGGGCTTTACATTTGCTCTACATCTAATGAAAACATTTTCCCAGCAATCACCTGGGCTGCACTCAAGTGAACTTCATGACCACAGAATGATGGTAAATCCTCAAAAATAAAGCATAAAGCAGACATCAAAGTTCCAATAGAAATACTGAGCAAACCTACCTTTTATAAAGAAGAATGGCAATGACAATGCAAATGATAAAGACCACCGCAAGGACAGGACCTACGACCCAGATCAAGCCTTCTTCTTCATCCGTGATTGGCTGTGGATCCAGATCCATGGACACGACGGGGTCAGAGTAGGGGCTGGTTGCATACATCTTCTGAGGAAAAGCAGAATCTATTTTAGTTATAAAGTAATGGTTTTCTCGAGTTTATATCCAGCCTTAGAAGGAGCAATATATCTGGGACATAGCAGATTTGATAACAAATGAATGAGACAATGTTAGTCAAATGAATGGGAAAGGAAAGGAAAGGAATGGGGGGGAGGGGAGGCAAAAGGAGGGGGGAAAGTTTACAATGCTGGTTTCCTTAAAGAGTGAGATATAATAATTTCTGATAGTATAAATAAATTAAAAGGTTCTTTACCATGATGACTAGATGTAGAATATTACACAATTCTGTGAAGTATAAATGATCCATAATTAGCCAGTCACAAAATGAGCAATGGGTATTTATATCATTACAGCGTGTTAGGTGCTTCATGAAAATAAGGAAAAATATTCAGAGTTTCAGCCTCAAAGGTATTATAGGCTTAATCCCTTTATTCAATTATCAGAGATCCAAAGTCTTTCAAGATACAAAAAGAAAAAAAAAAATTGAGAAATTTCAGAACATTTGGATCTCCCTTTATCAGAATAGGGATGTTAAACCAGCAAGGTCCATGGAAATATTCCAAAATCCAAAACTGAAATCTGAAACACTTTTTTTTCTTTCTTTCTTTCTTTCTTTCTTTCTTTCTTTCTTTCTTTCTTTCTTTCTTCTTTTCTTTTTTTTTTTTTTTTGGAAATGGGGATTGAACTCAGGCCCTTGCACTTTCATTTTTTCCACTGAGCCATCTCACCGCTCCCTGAAACACTTTTCAATCCAAGTACTCTGGAAATGAAATATTCAATTTGTATTAGCCCGATCAAGGAGATCAAAGTGAAAAGGCAATATTTATAGAGGAAAATAAGTCAGTATTTAATCAAATTTTAAATTGTGCCAGCACTTGGGACTACTGCGCATGAGTTAGGAGGTAGTGTTCAATATGAATGTAAGATGTACGGAACTGAAGATGGAGTTTTCTGAAATAGAGAACTTTTAGCATTCAAAAGGATTCAGCAGGTCCTCTTTAATTTTATCATAGCTACTACAATTTGGAATGTTAGCTCCTCCCAAAACTAAACACAAATAAAATTTCAAAAGTATAATTCCAGGGGCTGGTGAGATAGCTCAGTGGTCCAAAGAACTTGTTTAGGCATGGTTCAATCCCAGGACCTCATAATGTGCCAGTCCTACCCCTAGGGCAGTCTGAGCTCGCCTAAACAGTATAATTTCAGTACTTGGTAAAAGAATGGGCTGAATGTCTAAAGGACTTTGTACCTGACTTTAGAAAAGTATATTCTCTAAGCTATGGACACGCCTTACTCCTTTCTTTCATTCCTGATTTCAGTACAGACCAAGCTAGAGGCTACAGGCTGCTCCTACCACTCATACCTCTGTCTTTTCACTCAACTGCCGCCCATGGTCCTAGGTCTCCTTGGTGCAATCTTATCACATTTAGTCTTTTCTCCTCAAGGTATTTTCTCTACATTTTCCATGGTTGACCAAGACTTTTTAAAATGTCTCTCTCCGACTTTCTTAATCCTGTATTCAAATGGATTCTTCCAAATCTTTCTTAACTGCTCATGTCCTGTTGAAGTACATCCCACTGCCTCTACGCTATGAGCCACCATTCTTCAGCTCTGCTCTCTGTGAACCATCCTCTCCCTATGGAGCCAGGTTTGGTCCGGCTTTAATGACCAGGCTCTACGCAGACTGCTTCTTCATGAATGTTCCTAAGTTCAGAAAACCTACTAAGACTCAGACCCCCATTTACAATTCTCTTTATGTATATGCACGAAAGAAGAATCACACACATTTTTTCCCTATTTTCCTGATTCATATTTTCAATTTCTTAATTTCTTTCACTTTCTGTTCCAAAATAGAAACTACTAATTTTACTGATAAATAAGTCTTCTTTCTAGTCTCATGGTTACCATTTTTTTCTTCAGGATCTAATTCATGCTCTCTTAACCATACAAGGGATTTCTTCCTTTCCATTATTATTCTGTTATATAGTTAATGTTAACCTTCAAGAATTTCTACCCAGAAAATGTATGTATCTTGGCACTGTTGCCAAGGGCCACCACATTAAAAAAAAGTTCCTTACCACATCTAACAACTTATATCACAATGAACTGTTTTGCTGTTAGTCTAAGAAGCTCTCTCTATATGTGTTCTTTCAATGTCTTACAAGTTCCACAAACTTTAGCTTTTAAAATACAGCTATTCACCAAGGTTCCATTTAAACATTGCCTTCTAAACTGGAAGAAATCAGTCATTCAAAAAAATACAGGTCAAAAGCAACAACGAAAAGCTAAATGTAAATATTTAATTTAGTTCTTTATTCTCCTTTTTAAAGGTGAACCACAAATTATTTTTTAAATTTTGCGTATGCTTCATTTACTTTAATGAAATTATCAATGCTTTCCAAGAACCGATTCTTGGTCTAGGATTTCCAGACCTGTAACTATTTGGGTTGGGGGTACATGGTGCTGTGGGCTAGGGCAGTGGAAAGGAGCCCCACTATAGCCAAAGAATAAAAAATAAAAGAGATTTGTAAGAAGTCCCTCTACTCACACTCTGTACTTGCTTAAGCTTTTTCTCACTTATTTTTATTTTTGTGGTACAGAGCATTAAGTATTTTGCATTTTCTGTTTTCGGCAAAGCACTGCTGAATAAAGTAAAAAGCTCAACCTTTTCATTGGCTGAGATAGTCAAGACACACACGTGTGTTTCTCTGAGAATCACTCAACATGGTTTTGCAAAGCTACATGTTCTAAAAAACACATTTTGTGGCGCACACTCTGAATTCTCGTTGAATGTCAGCAGACACGTAGGCGAACACATGCCCCATTGCCTCTTGCTTCCCGTTCTTATCACTTGCCCAGGAAAATGATTGATGAGACTTTCAGACTTTCTCAAAGAAGATGAAAAACTTGTTCATTTCCAACCTTCTCAGAGGCAGAATAAAGAAGGAAAGAAAAGCAAAGAAGACAGGAGTGTGGAAGGAGAGATGAGAGACACATATTGGTAAAATACCTGGCACAAAGGGCTTTGCAAAGAGCCTACACAGTCAGGCAACATGTACTTCCCTTTAGCCTGTCCCCCCATTTGGCAGGTTCCATGCTGAGGTCGTTTGGTTAGATAGAAGTAAGTACAACTCGCTGATCCAATGAAATTCTTCACCAAGAAGCTTGGTGATAATAATCTTGGTGAATCAAGGTGGAAATGTAAGCAAAGGTCCTTCCGAAGAACACAGATTTTTCAGCCCCAATCAAGATACAAAGCAGCGTAGTAACAGAAAGGAAACAGAGTTACATGACTCCGAGTCCCTTGGAAAGCTGAATTTGTTGGAGGAGGGATAAAGGAAGAGGTCATACTTTAAAGAATTCAAAACCAGTTCTCTGATATTCCTAATATGGGGCAAAGTACGAAGGCAAAAGCTCAGTGTCTATTGGGAGAGGACCTGAAGAGCAGACATATTCATCTCTGCAAAGGGCTAAGGTGCCCGAGAAATAATCACACATAGTATTAAGAATTGGTCCTGAAAATCTGAAGCAGCTGAAGGACTGTGTCACTACAAACATTATACTGCTTGGATACGACTCTTGTCTGTAAAATAAATGCTGGCCCGCACACACAGGCGACTGTATGAAGTGTGGGGAAATGGTTCTTATTTCAAGAGCAACATCAAGAGATGATGAAAGGAAAGGGCAATTAAGAACAAATCTGGGGGGAAATCTGAATTCTATTATGTAACTGATGAAACAGTGAGAGGGCACCCGGAAGAGAAGGAGACTCCACCAAAGGCAATGCTTTTAAAAACTGGTGGAAATGTCTGGAAGCCTTCAGAAGCCAGGCGAGAAGTAGTGCAGTCTGCACGACAAGATTTCTCCCTCTGGTAGATGTTCTGAATGTGCTTTCTGAAATGTTCATAGAGCTGTTTAAAGAAAATTCCTCTTAAATACCTAAGGATTCTTTTTTATTATTATTATTAAAGAAAAAGATGAATTCCAGCATCTCATCTCCTTTCAAGTTTTGCCTTAAAACCTTGAACTGGAAAGAGAAAGCATGGCTGTACATTAAAATTCCGGGGAGGGTGTCACTTTGTTTTACAATGACATCCTGTGCACAAAGGTAAACCCGACTGCCTTTGTGTTTTGATTTTCCACAGGGGAATTCCTCCAGTCTGCTGAAGAGAGGCCCCAGTGTGCACGCTGACACCTGATGCAGAGGAACCTTTGATACGTCTCAGGCTTCCTGAGCACAGAAAGCGGCTGAGGGGACTGAGTTGCCACGCCTGTCAGACTGAGGCCCTGATTAGAACGATCCCACTTGGAGAATGCATGTTAAATGTTAATGTAAACTGCCACTTCAGAATCTGCCCCTCCTTTAACATCTACAACTTCTTATCTTCACTCTACTTTAAACATTCAAAGCCTCTGAAGCATAAAATGACATAAGAGCAAGATGAATTACATAAAAAAGACAACTCATTATTTAGAGTACCTTAGGACTCTTCCTTTTTATTGAATTATTTTCTAACTTTCTTGACTTTTCACTGACAAAAATCCCTGGAAATTGCTGCCATTAAAGAAGCTGCTTAGGGCTAGTGAGATAGCTCAGCAGACTAAGCACCTGCTTAAGCAAGCACATAGACCAGGGTTCAGTCCTGGCACCACCTGCCACACCAGCCCCGCCCTTTGCCATGCTGAGCCTCCCCAGAGACCGGGCATAGTGGTGCATGCCTGTAATCCCAGTGTTGGGGAGGCTGAAACAGGAGGATCACTGAAAGTCCAGGCTGCATGGTGAGACCCCATACCCAAATGCATTAAAAAAAAAATGAATTAAAAAAAAGAAGCTGTCTGTTCTGCCCTGCTCCTCCAGCAACTGGGGGAAATCCTTCCAGGAGACCAAATGCCAGCACTCCCTACGTCAGTGTCTTCAAATATTTGGAAAAGCACTGTGCTAAATTATAGCTCGTTAACGTCTGTTGTAATCACACATGCGCTAAGGTTGATCAGGTATTTTGTAAGGAGAGAAGAATATGTTGTTAGATAGTCATTGTCAGTGGATGAGGGCCAGAGACCAAGTGTGACCACGTTATGGGCAACACTGTGTGCTATACGGATAGGTCTGAACCTGAACGATGGCTTGTCAGGCTGGACTTTCACATCAGAGCAGTCCACCTCAGTCTGACAGCCTGTTATTACAGGGCAGTAAATGACAGCTCACGAGAAATGGGAAGGGCGCACCTCCATATCCCCCAAACTGGGACTCGTGAGCATGCCACAGGGAACGCCGCGTGGATTAACTTACAGACTCTGCGTGCTCCATCACTGCTAACACAAAGAAGACGTATTCTTGGCCACTCTGGAGTTGCTTGTTTGTAAATCCACCATAATGTTTGTCATCCCCCAGGGTGAACTCGGTGGGAAGGACATCAAAGTGAGCTGCAATGTATGGCTTTAATTCAGCTTCTCTCCCGTAACGAATGCTTCTGCGTCTCCTAGATATCTCCTTAAGTAGCTTAAGGGAAAAAGTGAGAAACAGAAAAGGAACTATAAACAACTCAAATTCTTGACAGTTTAGTGGGAAACATTAACTTAAGCACATGAATGAACCAAATACACTTTGTGCACACTTCACAAAGCATGCCAGCATCACTGAATCTCCTTTCAGTATTTCAGTGCTTGGCTTCTTGCTAAGGTCAGATATAGAACAGCTTCTGGAAGGTGCAGTGTATAAACACGGGGCAATTCTATCTTTCCTAGAGCCTCGTCTCATTTCTACATAATGAAATTCGCTTAAAGAACAATAACGCATTATAACTTCTCTAAGGAGAAAAATAAGCTCAGTTCAAAAAAGTTTGCCTTGTAGGAGATTTATTTAAAAAGCAGTAACCTCAGATAAACCCATCTAAGACTTTAATGGGATCAGATTTTGGAAGAAGCTAGTGTCATTCAGAGCATGTTTAATAATTCCATCATTCTCTCAAGTCAACAAAAGCAGAATCTAATAATTTTTTCTATTTTAAAGAGATAAAAACAAAATAAAAGCAAGACAATTCCAAAACATGGTGAGGGGAAATGAGCAATGGTTACTGTATTGCATACTGTTATCTTCAAAGAAGCTGCTCCGACTACTAGCTACAGGCCTGCAAACCGGACCACACAATGCAAGCACTGTTCAGTGAACTAACAGGAACAAGCAGTGCCATTATCTTAGTTATTGTGTACGTGTGTATTTCTTTTTTCCCTGTTTTCCTTCTTTTCTCTTTTCCCCAGCTCAGTTGCTAATTCCTGTTGAGTGGTTTCTTTTCTGTTCACAGGACCGACTGTGCCATCAGGCACAGTATTTACTCTTTCCATTTCTAAACCAGGAAGAAGATCCAATGTTTATACACATGAGTCTCATTTATTTCCCTTCTATGGTCTCAAGTGGCATCCATTCAGCCACATCAGCCTTGTGTTTGTCTTTCTTTATAGCTGAGTAGTACACCACTGTATAAAAATATATGCTTTATATCCATTCTCTGGTTGATAGACATTTGATTTGTTTCCAAGATTCAGCTACCAATTGTGTTGGTATAAACACGGGTACACATATATTACTGTGGTATGATGTTTTCAATTCTTCTGGAAAAATACCCCGAAGGGGACTAGCTGGGTTGCATGGGACCTGGAATCCTAGTTTCTCTTTTCTGTGGCCAGCTCAGCTTGCCCTGTGGGCCTGGCTGGTGTGGCATATGGTGCCAGGGATCGAACTGCGGTCTCCTCCACCTGTGTAAGCTTGTCTAAGCAAGTTCTTTAGAACACTGAGTTGTCTCACTGGCCCCTAATCCTAGTTTCTTGAAGAACCTCCACACTGATTCCCACAGTGGCTGAACTGGCCTTCGCTCCCACCAACAGTGGAGAAGGTTCCTTTGCCTCCACATGCCTCCAGCATTTGTTATTGCTTGATTTTTCCTTGATGACAGCCATTCTTTCTGGGGTGAGAGAGAATCTTTGTACTGTTTTAATTTGCATTTCTCCAATGCCCAATAATTTTACATTTACATATATCGTCAATCATTTCAAAATTCCTGGCTTGATTCGCCTTCTTCATGAACCAGTTGGTGTGGGGTCGCTCATATTCTATCCCAGACCCAACTTTTCCTCTCAGGGGGCTTTCAATAGCTTGTCAGGTGACACAGGACAGATAAAAATTAATTTCCATATTATCCTGAAGAAGACACACCACACATGTACACATACTTCTTGTACTTCTAAAACTAAGTGCTTCGTGTTGAGATAATCTAGAGTTTGTACTGGCTCTTTGACTAGACCAAAAATCATATTAATCATACATTATGATAACTGACTTCAAAATGGTATCAAAATTGCCTCTGCCACCCTCTCTGCTGCCATATTGGCATCTGAAAGTGCTTAAAAGGGAACTAATCTATCAGTGTGGGGTGCCTCTTGAAGTAAGCAATACTGTTTAAACTTTGTTGATAACAATTTTTAACCTTTCTGGTTTAATTTCTATAAAGAAAAGGCCATGTAGTGCAGGATAAACTGGAAAAAAAAAAACAACTATCTGAGGACATCTTGTTTTCCCCTTGAGAAACAAAATTAAGGTATTTATGAAAACTGCATCAAAACTAAGTATTCCCCTGGATTTTGTGAATGGAACAGTTGTGGTAAACACCAGGTGTGGTACATACTGAGCAGAGTGGGGTTCTGGCAGAATCAAGGCAGGCTTTTGTGCTACAAGGCGGAAACAGCATCCGAGGCCCACTGTGTGCTTCTGCAAGGAATCTGATGCTTTTTATTCTCTATGCCAAGAGTTGCAAACACATTGTGCTGGCTGTCCCCATGACATGGAGAAAGCAGTATTCTCTCCCCAAGTTATTTGTCAGTGATATTTAATTGACAAAGCTGTAAAATTTTCTGTGAAATTTGGGTCTATTAATGCAGTTAAAATGCATGAAACATAAGCACTTAATGAAAAGCACACTGGACTGGACAAGGCTGGTTGGAGATGTGCAGACCATCAGGTGATGGATTCCGGTAGGATTTTCTGCATGCTAGCAGGTCAGAAAGGAGCAAAGACAGATTTGCTACTTCCCTTCCTTTCTGGTATCAAATCTGTATTTACGAATGATAACGTTGACATCACTAGTTACCACGTGCTAGGCACTACATGTCAGCTGCTGTTCTAGGAGTCCTAAATGTGTCATAGATCGTTTACCTCTCATTAATAATGCTGTAACATAGAATATAATGAACCTCATCCATAAGTGAGGAAACTGAGGCACAACAGAAAGTCTCAATGGATAATGACTCAGTGAAAAAAATGAAATTACAGGAGAGATCTCAATCTTATATTTACTAATGATGCTACCAAATGCAACAAAAAAATCAAATGGTACATTTAAACTTTGATAATCCCAATTGTTTTCACTCGGTCTGTATTCTTGAGCATCTCCTGTCATTAACACAGACAAATTTTTTGCTTCCTTTTCCTGGATTCTTTAACATGCTAATTTAAAAAAATCCTGATGTGAAATATTTAGTATTATTCTCAAGCAATCATTAGAAAGGCCATTGTTGGCATGCAGCATAGGATGAGCCCTGCTATGCAGGAGGAGCTGAGCAAAGGCTTAAAGTTGGCTAATCAGAAACATTCACCATCAGTTGTTGTTGCGCATGCCTCTCTCCTTCTCCTTCACTGATCAAGCCCTGCCTCAATTTTATTCATGTTTCAGCTGCAGACAGCTGTCACAATTCTTCCAACTCACTGTCATGCTTATGAGGATGTTGCACTGGTGCGCACTGAGAAGACTCAGAGGCGGTAATCCAGAATGAAACTTTGGGCTGTCCCAGTGCTCCTTGTTCTAACATGGTCATGCATGAAGGGCAAATCCGGAATGTCACCCTGATTCTGTGACTTGTGGTCACCTCAGTAGGACACTTGCTGCATTGTACTTTCAGTGGCTTCAGTGAGTCCAGACGACAGCACCAAAGCTGGCCAGCATGCCGAAGTTGCAACCACAGATCATCATGTGTTTTTGCAATGAGTGTCTAAAGCACAGAGCAATGAAGAGCTTTCGATATACTACATGACCTTCCCTGAGTTCAGTATAGCTGACATTTGGGGAGTCGATCCGCCCAAAATTCATTTCAACTATCAACGTCATCCCTGACCACTGTGACCTTGAGCGCAGGAATCCCAGTCTAGGAATTTAGCATGTAGAGAGCACCCTTATGCAGAGAGAATAAATGAGCTCAGAATAAAATTTTGAGAGTAATTCTGTTTGGAAAGCCACTTTCAATATTTTATGGGCCTAGATCTGAGGCCTCCATGTGGAAATGCCCTTAGGCCACAATTCTATTTAATGATATGGTTCCAACAATTCGAATTATAGACATTGCTGAAAAATTACTTGGTCAAATACATTTAAGAGAGGAATACTGCTTTGTCACACTTGGCAGTACCAATCTATCAATAAAATTAAAATTCTTTTATTATCCATAGTAAGGTTATTTTTTAAAATATCTATAGGGCTCAAAACTGCAAGGGTAAGCATAAAGTGAGGCCACCGCCTACTTTCATCTGCCCCCCTCCACGAGAGTTACAAGAGATATTGGAGGTAATCGCAGAAGATGTAACAAAAGTCGTAGTTATCAGAAATAATTCCCATTTTCCAGTCAATGCATATCTTATTTCTTCCACCATTAATTCTCCTATGTGGTCTCAATTATATCAGTAAGAAAAGTGGGAAACAGTCCAGCCTGACCCCCAAATTCTGAATTAATAAAATGTTCTTTATCAACCTATTATATAGATTAATGCACCACAACTCGCAGGATGATTAAAATGACCCTTTGTTATGGGAAGCAGCAGCACAAACCTGTAGAAATTAATCGCAAGAAAGTTCAATGTCACATACCCCTATACTTTAATCCATTAGCCTTGCTATGCATTTTAGAGGTTAAATCACAGCTGTAAAAGAGAATCACTTTCCAGTATTATCAAATAGCTTAACTTCTAATGAGAATCCATTATTTAAAACATTTGATATCATTTTTCTTGACTATCAGTGCTTTAAAACGAGGTATTCACAGGTTCTTCAAGTTGCCTTTGCATTTTAAATTCAATTCCAGCTAAAACTCACTCGTGACAATTCTCTTATTCAGTGAAAACCCAATTTAGATAGTAAAGAATGTCTCGGGATTAACTGATTAGTCCATTACAAGTAAATTTATGTCTTGTTTCAGAATAATTTTTTTAAAAAACTACTAATCACTTTGCATCTTCAGATGAAGGACTGCTGTTCCTCAATATCACAGAATGGTGATTTCTACACCTTTTTTGTTAACAGAAAAATTAAAACCATAACATCTAAATTGACAATAAGATTACAATGGTATCTTACTTCATGTGCCTCTAGGCACAATCTAATCGCTGTATGGTGACAAAAAAAGCATCAGCCTAACCTTGAACTCATCTCACCTCCTAAACCCAATCATATTTAACTCAGATAAATGAAGCAGACGGTTTTGAGCCCCAGCTGTAGAGGGCGCGCACATCTGCCACAGGACACCAGCAGCCATCGTTTTGTCTGCTCACAATGTCTTTATGAAAAATTTCAAACAAACGTTACCTCCTCCAGTACAGTTAAGGTATTGTTTTTCTTACTCCACCTGAGCTAATTTGAAAAAGAATGCTGAGAAATAACTTATGTTATAAAATATAATCTAACATATATATATATATATATATATATATATATGCCCAATAAATATATTAATTTTTTATTTTTATTTTTCCAAAGGGGAGACTGGCTATTTTTCTTAGGAACTTACTCAAAATAGCATTTTGTAGAAATATCGAAGTCTCTCCCATATTTTAATTGTGAATCTCAGTCATTAACTGTGGTTGTCTGGGGATCTGGTTTAATGCTCTTCATCACAGATTTTTCATTTACATGAAAGCATATAATTAGGTCTCTTTCAAAACCCCAATACTCCATTTAGTAGGTGCCAAATAAAATACACCTACTGGTGTCCACATTTTGGCCATTACATTCATGCTAGTTCGTACTTGCTGGCTTTGGTTCTATTTTGTGCTTTGCTCAAAGTTTTGTGATTTGTTTTCCTGTGCAGTTAAATGCACTTTTGACTCTGAAACCCTACAGAATATGCAGCAAGGCAAGCAATGCAAAAAGTTAGTCAAGACCACAGAGTAGGCCAAGGAAGCCCTGCTGCAACGTGCAGTCTGGCATCTGTAGCAGCCGGAACAATGGGCCAACGAAGGAAGGCCTTGCAGGTCCTATCATTGGTGACTTGGTCTTCGCTGCAATTTGTTTAACCTGCCACGTTTTCACATCATGTTTTACAAGGGGCAAAGGGGCAAGGTAGTTAGGCCAAGGAGGATTAGACAGGTTGTAAGCTTTATTGCAGCTTCACATCTTTTAAGCATATGGGGTCTTTGTTTGGATGGGCAGAGTGCAGCCGGCCCATAGCACTGAGCCCTCCTGCCAGTCAGACGTGCCAGTGCCAGCACCCTGGATTAGATGCCCGAAGGTTTCCATAGGGAGAATGGAGAATTCAACAAATTAAATATCTAATGAAACACAGACAACGAAGATATAGTTACCTCATCTAATTCCATTTCATCTGGACTCTCCCATGGCTTGATAAATTTCCCACGAGATTTCTTCAAAGGCACAATTATTATGTAGTAACCTCTGCACAGAGGGATAGACAGACAACAAAGAGGTTAGCTGAGAGGTGAGAGAAAGGACATGCCCTCTAATCGTACCCAGACCTGTGATTGAGACCAAGGGTGAATTATGGATAGGGGAGAATGTGTCCATTTCGCACATGACAAATAACCACCTGTTTGTTCAATTTTAAAAGCAACATGGGTACACATTAATGTGGGGCCTTAACGATCTTGTACGATGAGATCACAACAGTCAGCTGCTCTTCATTTTGCACCATAAACAGAGCAGACATGGTTCATTAGGACCCCCGTGCTGGATGCATGCGAGGCAGGTATATTGAAATCTACCACTGCGAACTGCTGAGTCAAATATTTTCTATGACATTAACTTACAACGGTTTTTAAAGGAGGATATGTAATAGAATTACTTTTAGCTTAGATGCGGATCTATCATTTTGTTTATGCAAACTTAAACCCCTTTTGGATAAAAAAAAAATAAAACAAAAATATCCAGAATCTCATGATCAGATGTAAAAATTCTTTTCTCATTTTATTCATCCCATTCTGAAACTTAAGTTATCATTGTACAAATTTGAAATTTCTAATGAAAAGCCTTTAATATAGGCCTCAGTTTAACAATAACTATAGGAGAAGACAAAGCCAGGTGGGGGCTCACCGTGGGAATGGTCCACTACTATGTACGTGCTGTACAAGTGCACACGTTCCCCAAAAGAGCTAGACTACTAGAGACAGTGTTCCGTCACCTAAAGACAGTGGGTACCTTACTCGTGCGTTCCTCCTCAGGAACCATGCTCACTGTACCTCTGTAAGGACTGTGAACACAGCACATAATAACTATAAGCACGCTGACCATTCTTCTTTTCAGGGAAGATATTAAATGTATAATCTTTTGTTTCTTTGGTGGTACCAGGGATCGAACTCAGGACCTTGCATTTGCCAGGCAAGCACTTATTCCGCTGAGCTATCTCCGCAGCCCTAAATGTACAATCTTGTTTTTCTCTCCTTGCACAACAGTTTACAAACAGCCTTGGTATAGGCTATCAGGATGTAAGATCAAGTCAGAGACAAACAGATCAGGCGAGACTTAATAACTGCCCAAATTAAAACAGATAATAAGGGGATGCAAGCCTTAACAGTGGTTTTTGTCATTAATGCACCAGAAGTATTGTTTTAACAGCCATTCTTTTTTTTTTTTTTTAATTTGTGATTTTTTTGATTCTTTTGTACCAGGAATTGAACTCAGGACCTTGCATTTTCCATGCAGGTGCTTGGACCACTGAACTATATCCCCAGCCTTTCATTTTCTTTTTCATAACAGCCATTCATTTTCTTTACTACAAATAATGGTGGTCAGAAGAGAGAGAAGAAAGACTTGGAGTGTGTGAAAGAGGTTTGTATCCATTATTCTGTTAATTTACTGGAGAATTATTATCCAAATGAAAACACACACTCGCACTGCCATATATTCATCCACCTTTAACAGAGAAGAAATCTCACAGACAAAGCCAAGAAGGGAAGGGAGCCCCATACCACAGGGCTGGCAGGCCCTCACAACGTGCGCAACAGAGCCCCTTTCTACTCCTCTCACAGCACCCCCTGTCACAATCCCAGTAAATCCTTGGTGACACAGGCTCTATCTGCATAAGCATAGTCTAGAGCAGAGCCAAACACTACAGCAAACCCAGCCTGGCTGGCCACACAGCAATGGAAATGCAGCCAGCCGCAGCCGACAAACACTCTGGCTGGCAAGGAACACTGGGTGGAAGGGTTCATGGAAAAGCAGAAAGTAAGGTATTTCAGAGACATTTTTATGATAGTGTTCCCCTGTTAAAACTAGAATATTCTGGATCTATTGGGTTAAGTGGAATAACTATTAAGTGAATTTCACCTGTTGCTTTTTTATTTACTTATTTTCTGTATTTTAGGGAAGGGTCTGCAGGGTGTTCAGGGTCTCACTACTAGATTGGACTAGTAGTGATCCGCCTGTTTACAGCCTCCCAAGAGCTGGTATTACGGGCGTGTACCACCACGTTCAGTCTCCTTTGCTCAGTGCACCCTGGGGGCAGGGCTTGCATGGTACGCGCGGGCATTGAACCCCGAGCCCCTGCGCCTGCTTGCAGGCGCTTTAATCCGCTGAGCTATTTGGCCGGCCATCACCCATTGCTTTGTGGTTACTGTGGCTTCTACAAAACCTAAAATGTCATGAGGTGTCTCTCCCGGTGCTCCCTGTCCAGCGCTGCCGCAGCGTACTCAGATGAAGGCGGTGGCAGCCTGCGGCACACCTGGCTCAGAACGTGGGTCTGCGCCTACCGTGCTGATATTCTTGAAGTTTAGTTGCATATTCTGGTAGATGACAGTAAAAATGTATCTGGCCATGTGGGGGAAATAAATGCAGCCTGAGTGCTCAGCACAGTATTCAGGGTGCAGAACGCTCAACAGCTGCTGCCTGCTGCAGGCCAGGCTGCCCGCCCTGGTGAGGGATGCGTCCCTGCGGTCTTATGCATGAGGGTGGATGAAGTTTCTCAAGACGTAGGTAGAGGTGCATGGGAAACGCTGCCTGCCTTCCAACCTCATGAATTCAAGCCCAATCAGTCAGTTACACCAGAATCCTCTCCACATGCTCCGTGCATCTAGTCAACAGATACACAGAATTATATCACGTAGCCATACGTTTTCTTTACTACAAATAATGATCAAGAGGGAGAGGAGAGCACTGGCCAAATAGCTCAGTGGATTAAAGTGCCTAAAAACAGGTGCAGGGCCCAGGGGTTTGATCCCCAGGCTTGTCATGCCGGCCCCACTCCCCCAGGGGCGCACTGAAACACAATTGTAATCCCAGCTCTTGGGAGGCGGTAAAAAGGTGGATCACTGTGAGTCCAATCTAGTAGTGAGACCCTGAACACCTTGTATACTTTTCCCTAATATATATATATATATGAGAAGACCTGGAGAGTGTGAAAGAGGACACTATCTTATTTTATGATTCAAGGTGAGCATCCCTCTTTTCCTGTCCAGATTTGCCAATGAGTCCATCATGTGAAATGAGCACAGAACAACAGAGGCTGCCACTGAGCGGACAGAGTAACAGTGAGGATGGACCGAGGCGCACACCCGCCACGGCACCTCCCGCTCTTCATCCCGACTATAGTTGGGAGAGCTTCTCTTGTAACAGTACTGCACATAATCAGAGGGCCTCCACTGTTCACTTCCAGGATCACACAAATCGAAGTCAAGCTGATGCATTCCATTTCGTTTTTCTTTGCTTCCATATACTGAGTTGCTGCTCCCATCCACAAAGAAGAGCCCGTTCTTTCTTCACTAGCGCTCCCCCACTCTCCACTTGTGGCTGGCATGAGAGTTAAACCGCCTCGCCCATAGCAGTTAATTACCAGTGTGGTCAGGTATCTGCAACCTTTCTTCTCTACGGATTTTTAGAGCATCCATGGAGAGCAGACCAAGTGAAGCTTGCTTCAAAGCAGCTCCTACGCGCTGAAGGAAGTGGAGCCCTGACGATCTGAAACTCCGTGGTACCGAACGCTCACTTGCCTGGCTGAATCCACGCTTTCAACTCTGTTCTCTGCAGCTGGGCCTCCACAGACACCCGTGTCCTTCCCTAACCTGACGGCCACTTTTCCTTAAGAATACTGCTTTGTCATCTCTCCTCTCCCACCATGAACCTCACAAACAGGCTTCAGAGCTGCTTTCCTGCTTCTCACTGCTGCTTATAGGCATTTTTTCCCTCTATCTTTTGTTGAAAAACAAAACATACCCCCCTGGAAGATCACATAAGTCATCCATATGATGCTCTTCCCTCCCTGATTTTTGCCAGAGAAAGAGCGACTTTTTCAGTATTTCCTTTCTCTTATGGATGGGTTACAGGGATTTGTGTGTGTGTGTCAGAGAGAGAGAGAGAGAGACAGACAGAGAGAGAGAGAGAGACTCTTCCTTCACTGCAAAGTCTGACATTAGCCAGGGCAATCTGAACATCCACATGGCTGCTCCAAGTACCAGCCCAGGTTCTCTCCTTTGGTTCTTCTGTCCCAAAGCCTACCTCTTCTAACCCCGCTGAAATCTAGGGTTGTCACCCGCCGAGTTGAAACTACTGGGAGCTGTAGGAGACCTAGGGCAGAACAATGCCACAAACCCATGAGGAGCAAGCTAAGTGAAGCTCTCCACACCACTAGGAAGTCAATCTTACTGATTTCCCTAGCTTTAGACTTAGGAGTCAAATGGCCTTACCTTCTATTTGCAGAGAAAAGGCAAACATTCACACAAGAATTCCCTCACCGTCTCCCTACTTTCAACTTTCCTTTTGTATAGTCAAAGAGCTGGTCCTATGGTTGTGCTCCAACAACCATTTCCTGAATGAGTTCCCTTTTCCCACTTTCTTAGCAATCTTTTTATCCCCCTTCCCCACTCTTTGCCTCTTGCAACTTCCTCTTCCTCAAGGAACCTTCCCGTGACATTTAATGGCACGCACTTATCTACCATTTACAAAGCCAAGCAAAGCACATCTCTCTCCCTTCTCCTGCCCCTTACTGCCCAGATTCTGGAAGAACCTGAACTGCTCCTACTATTCTCCATGGCCCTCCCTTCCACGCACGCCCACCTCTGTGGCCCTCTATGTCACTCCTACTGCATTGTTTATGTCAGTAACTCTGCCAAGGGCTGCAGAGCCCACAAGGCTGTTGCCTGCAAAAGAGAATTTCTGATCTTTTCACTTAATCATCTTAGAGTTTTACTTTCAGTAAGGACTTCTATGAAACAGTATCACACTTCTTTTTTTTGGGGGGGGGGATAAAGCTTCTTGCTTTCCCTAGATTTAACCCTTGCTATGATAACCTGATTTCCTTATAAGGATGTCACTCAGACCTCCGGCCAAGGACTTCTCTTCATGCTGTTTTTATTCATCCTAGGAGATCTTATTACAATTCATGGACTAGGTTTTATTAGTTACATGCAAATTATTTACAGATTCATGTCTCCAGCCCAGAACTCTCC